TTATTCGTCATTCATTGATGTGAAGCTCGATTGTTAATGTTTCCTAACTGAAATTTTAGATCGTTTTAATTTGCTTCCATTAAAAATAACTGAAATAATATGTGAATAACTACACTTTTTCAGTTTACCTAATAAAAACTCACGGGTGAGGTGCCATCCTACGCCTGTGACTGTAATCTTTCTATCCTGTTTAGAGATTCGGCTTTAAAATGGAACGGATGGGGTTTTACCGATTCGTCTTTCCAGATAAATAACAAAGGCCAAGTTACCTTTACGGGACAAAGGTTTCTTTGGATATATTAATGTTTCGATTTATCTGTTGCGGGACAAATACACTCCTGGAGGCTAGATGACACTGAGAGGCTTGAAATGTATTGATGTTTTGATGTTCAGATACAACATGTCTGGCGAAGTGATGCCGTTCTTCCGTCCGTGGTTTGAAAAGAACTTAGGCGTGGATCTTGATCATCGTACCCCGAGTCAGTTGAGAAGTGATTTGGTGGTTCCTCCCGCGGTAGTTAACCAACCATTCATAAATTTTTTAAAAGCTAACAACATTGGATATTCTAATGCTCCTCAGCATCGTGTGGTGCGGTCTCATGGCCATACTGGTATATTACAATAATCCTTAGTTACTTTTTAATCTTACTTCTGCTTTTAGAATGATCCAGAAGTCTCTTACTTTAGTGCACGAAATATGGAAATTGCGTCATGGTAAATTTGAAAGATTAGTCGACATCGTAGCTTGGCCTAAGAACGAGTCGGAAATTATCAAAGTGAGTTCTCATTTGGTTTTAAAGTATATATCTGATCCTTTAAGTAAAGTACTTTTCGAAACTAGGTTAGGTATTTTACCGGATGCACTTTCTTATTTCTTTCAGATTGTCAGTGCTGCCAATGAATTTAACGTCGTAATTATCCCAATAGGTGGTGGTACATCTGTTTCTCATGCACTAGAATGTCCTAGTGATGAAAGACGGTCGATCTGTTCAGTTGATCTCGCTCTTATGGACAAGATTTTGTGGGTCGATGAAGCAAATCTTTTGTGTAGAGCAGAGGTGTTTTTAAAACTTAAAATTTTGAGATTAGCAAAATGGTGTGTGCTTTCGTTTTTTTGGATGGCTTTATTACTTTTTTGCTTTGTACTGTTACAAATTGCCTGCTTCTTAGGCTGGAATCATTGGTTTAAAACTAGAAAAAGAATTGAACGCTAAAGGTTTTACATGTGGACACGAACCCGATTCTATAGAATTGAGCACTTTGGGTGGCTGGATTTCTACTCGTGCATCAGGTTTGCCTCAGATTTTCATAATTTTTGCTATTTTACAGTTTTTGGAGCAGAAGATAGACTTTAAAGAATCCTTTCTTATAAGACGAATTGGATTCTAGGGATGAAAAAAAATAAATATGGTAATATAGAAGATTTATTGGTACATGTCAGCATGGTTTCGTCGAAAGGTGTTGTAAGAAAATATTGCCAGGTACACACCTGTTTTGTTCTTCATCTGCTTCTCGGTTACTGTGTATAATTAATTTTATTGACTTGTAGGGACCATTAATCAGTTCTTCATTTATTACTCGGGTCAGAATTGAATTCACACGGTTCTTTTGGGTGACTTTTTAGTTTTGACGTTTTATGGGCACTTCAGGTTCCACGGATATCAGGAGGTCCAGATCTTCACCAAATTATTTTGGGTTCGGAAGGCATTTTGGGTGTGATCAGTGAAGCAACAGTCAAAATATTCCCATTGCCTGAAGTCAAGAAGTTTGGCTCACTTGTTTTCCCTTCCTTCGAAAATGGAGTTAATTTTATGCGAGAAGTGGCACGGCAAGTTAGTCCTCGTTTTTGCTGCTGATACATGAATTTCATGTGCCATTTAGAAATCTTTAAGGCGTCCCATGAGCAGAAATGAAATAATTTGAGTAACTCGCGCCTAGATCATATTCAGTTTCTCTGGCCAGACTGTACGTTTCCGTCAGTTTTAGCGTTGCCAACCAGCGTCACTACGTCTCGTTGATAATGAACAGTTCGTTATGGGACAGTCACTAAAAATTCAACGGAATTTATGGGATACTCTAGCAAGTAATTTAAGCAAATTGTATATTACGAAATGGAAAGGATTCAAAGTAAGTTCTTGTTTACTGCACTGACATCTTCTTAGCTTTTTGGTTTCTGGACACAACGTTCCGTTATCTTTACTTTATCTGCAAGCTATTTATTTTTGGTGGGGGAGATGGTAGCTGCGACCATATGTTACGAAGGTAGCGGACAGGAAGTTGAACTTCAGGAACGAACACTAAATTCTATTGCAGAAGCATTCAAAGGAGTTGCGGGTGGAGAAGAAAGTGGAAAGTATGGATATATGCTTACTTTTGCAATTGCTTACTTAAGGGTAATTTTTTACCACTTGGTAGTTTCTTTGTAAATTTTGCTCATATTCAATATTTTTAGTTTCTTGCTTCCAGGATATGGGTATGGAGCTCAGTGTGTTAGGAGAGTCGTTTGAAACATCTGTTCCTTGGAACAAGACCCTGCTGTTATGCCGCAATGTCAAAGAATTAATAAAGCGTGAAGCAAAAGCAAATGGAGTAAGGTATCCCGTTCTCTCAACATGCAGGTGTGTATTTCAATTTTTTGGCTCACCATTAGGCTTTACGCCACTGGGAGCCTCCTTCTTAATGCGTGCTAGTTAAGTGATAGGTTGCTTTTTTTTGGTTTGGTTTTTACTGAATTCCAACTTTTCTGATATTTATAGGGTGACACAGGTTTACGATAGCGGGGCTTGTGTATACTTTTACTTTGGTTTTAATTATCGAGGAGTGAAAGATCCTCTAGAAGTTTACGACAAGATTGAGGTTTGGATTTTGTATTTCATTATTTTTGCAACCGAAAAAGCTACACAGTCAGAGTGAATTTATTGTAATTCTCTCTGTAGAACAAGGCGACTACATGAATATTAAAGTTAACTACTGATAGTGCTTTATACTTTCAAAAAGCTAAGGGGTATCGCCTTTTCATTTCTGTGCTCAGTTTAAGCAAAAAAAAGACCATTAAGGCGGCCGCTAGGGATGAAATAATCGCTTGTGGAGGATGCATATCTCATCATCACGGGGTAGGTAAGTTGCGGAGGCCATGGATGGCAGTAACAGTTGGTGAAGCTGGCATTTCTGTTATAAAAGCAATAAAAGAAGAACTAGATCCTAAGGTTTGTTGCTTTTCAAATAGAAACTAGAATTATTTGCGTTATTTTGCATTACATCTTTAACAGATTTTATACGGAACGTTTTAGAATATTTTTGCGTGTGGTAATCTTATTGACATGAAGAAGAGTAAATTGTAAACGGATGGTCTAGTTTTATCAAACTTTGCTGCCACAGGACTTGATCCATATCACCTGTATTGTTGTTGTTTTTGGTGCCTTATTTATATTACATTATTAATCTCGTGATAAAGCATAATCTTTAAAAATAGTTTCTTTTGCAATTGTATAATTCCTAGACACAGCAAAAGTAGAGGAGGAATATTTACAGACATGTTTCCTCATATCTGCTCGTCTTGCTGACAGGTCTGCTCGATGGTTTCGTAAGAAAAGCCTCAGTAAAACCAGATGAATTTGTCGAAAGATGAGTGAATGAGCCCCACTTCAACCCCAAGACCTAAATTAATTTTTCCAATTTTGGAACGAGATATTTCAAGCTAATGAAGAATATACTAGCTACCCAAGGGATTTTCAAAAGTCGTTCTTAGCAGAAGTTCATGCAGCACAGCATCAGAAAATAAATTAGTTTGTTGAAGAAGAGCCGACCACGTGAACTACATGCAGCAAATGCATTCTTTGGCTTTTGACAATACAGTGTAAAAATAAGTAGAGAAACTGCATTTCACATCCACCCCGTAGTTCCGCTAAGTGATCGTGTTTAAGCGTTTTCTCAATACAGTAAGGTAGATGGATATAAATTATCACACCGACGTCATTTCCTCAAAAATTATTGGGGTATACGTCAAAAATTTAAAGTTGACTATTGAGAATGCTATTTGGTTTCTAAAACAAGTAGTAGTAACCACCAAGTGAGCTACATTTTTTTCTGAAACGTTACAAGCTAAGTTGTCAGTAAAAGTGATCTTAGATTAGTCAGGGCCTCGAAGAGACGGAACTTCAAAAATCAGTTGGAAAAAATACTAAAGTCGTACGTTACCAACATTTCAGAAGTTTAATAGAATTTGGAAGCGAGGAATGAGATAGCTATATGAATTTCTACTCACGGCACAGTTCTTATCGCTTCAGGAACCAAGAGGAAAGTCGAAATATAGTTGGCAAGTATCAGTAACAGATATGTAGATCGTCTACCAACCGTTTGTAATTGTTTTAGCTTCTCTTTCTGCTGGGGGCTCACTGGGTGCTTATGCACCTTCGCCTACAACTCTAGGGGATGTGATTTTTCCATTTTTGTTGTCATTTTAGAAAATGATATACTTTTTTGTCATCTTAAGCTTTTAGGCTGAGTTTTATCTCTGAGGCAGGCAGACAATCTAGCTGCAAAATTGAACAGCTTTTTCCCATACATTTTAGTATCTGACGCTTGCGTAAAGTCATAACACGCCGACATTGCACACGTCAGAAATTTGTTTTTTCTCCAAGCCTCCTTATCAAGTTTCAGTGAACTTTTTAGGTTGGTACATAATTAATACTTTTCTTTGCTCTTCGGACTTTAAAATGTCCATAAATTTGACTGGAAACAAGTTCACTAGTTGAGATAATCGCTTCAGTTTGCACGATTTTGCCAATTCTCCAATAACAACTATATTTCTGTTACATAAAACAGTGGATTGTGGGAAGTCAAAAATTCCAGAAGAGCTCTTCTTGTACGTATTGTACACCTTTTGTTTCATAAAGAGCCAGAATTGGAAAAGTGATGGTAATCAGTGGAAGGCAGGTCAAGGAAATACGCTAGGTGGGACATTTGTTGTATCATACGTTCAAGTGCAGGAGTTTTTGCTGAATGCTCTGTGACACATGAGGTTTTGCGTTGTTAAGCAGTAAAACACATCATCTTTTTACATCGTGTGCCAAACTACACGAAGTTTATCGCGCTATAAGTGTAATTCGTCATAATAGGATTCTGCTGAAGTTCTTAAACCGTAAAATTATTTGTTGTGATAAACTGGTGCTTTGTAGTTTCTTGAGACAGTGACAAGGAATTATATGAATGTAATTCTTGTTTAAGGAGCTGGTAAGAAGCGCCCTGTTATGAACGCAGGTGAAACATCGTTCCTGATTTTCACAAAAAAAAAAAACCATTTTATTGTCAGTAACTTAACGGCTCAAGGGTGAATCATTTTAGAATGTCACGAGATTATAACAACGGATGTAGAAACCCTGGAGCTTCTGTTCTGCTGTTAAATGATGCGACGCGCGCTTCTGGGTTCTCCTTACATTTCCACCTTCTTCGAAGTGTTTACAATCTTGCTGTAGTTTATGTGAGGGTCTTATGCTGAAGTCCTCATCGTTGTCTTTGGATTATTCAGACCAACACGTGAAAATGTGCGTTTACTGAGAGTTCAGCATGACCTTTATTGTCTTCTATATACATTGGTATTCCTTGAAAGTGAACTTTCAGAAGTAGAGGTGAACGGTAATAACAGTAGCGTTGTTAAGTTTCCAACTGCTGTCAATGTCACGGGTAACCTCAGCACTGCCCTGGAGGTTGAACTCGGAAGCATGATACGCCGAATGACCCAGTTATATATGTTTGGATTGTTGATTCTGAAAACTTAGCAGTCTCAAACTAATAAGGAATTTTTTTGGTTTCATAAAACAGAGGTTAAATGCTTTAAAATGATATACCGACTGCAACTTTGTCAACAGCCGGCCGTCTTACCCGCTCTTTGTAACAAATTGGATTATCTATGCAACATCCTGAGAATCAGCTTAGGCACCGAATTTGCGACATGAGAAACTAGCGTTACTTTTGGTAGCTTGATGAGTTTTGTCAATATGCGAAAAATACAGACATTTTTGGAACCTTGTATTTTTGCTGTTTATTCATGTAGTTTATTGGCTTTTTCTTCAATGAGAAATCTTCTTTTTTTTTTTAATGGGTAATGTGCATTTTATATATATTTTTTAGCGGAAAAGAAAGTTTTTTGAGGTTTTCAGAAACCTAAACCTGTTAAGGGGGTTAAAGAAAAAACTGTAATGATTTTTTCTAAAAAGAAGGATATTGTTTTTTAGAGTTTCTTGAATTGTGGTTAATTTAAATTCAAATTGCGATTTTTGTGGAGTTGGGACTTACAGTTACTAAACTAAAACTAAGTATGGAAACATGGTATGGATAAAATCAGATTTCATCAAAACAGTGTAACAGAGTCAATTTTTTTAAGTCGAGTCTTCTTTTCAATATAGGATAGTTGAATTTAAATTATTCAAACAAGCTGGTCAGCAATAGAACTTGGCTAAAATGTGACTGCAATGGGAGTCACTTTCCACTTAGTCTCACTTAAGTAGTTGGAGCTCATAGTTTTAGGATCTTGGTTTAGAATTTTGTTTTTGTACTTTTAAATCCATTAAAAATATTTTTGGGGAACTGTTAAGGAAAGTTTCTTCATAAACTTTATCATTATAAATCGCAGTTCTTTTGTCAGCACGTGCTTTTTTGAAATGGGCATAGGAAGAAGCGTTTTCAGTTCACGTAAAATTTTTAAATCTTTTATGTAAACAGTAAAGTTGTGGATTGCTGAGTAAAGATTTACCTTTCGATGGAGTGTGACCCGGCGTAGGAATACTCTTTTCCTTTGCTCATTTATACGGTCCATGAGCATGAAAATTGCCTAAGTTTTAAAATAAAATCAGGACAATAGTTCTTCAGAACTGTGCGATTTGATGTAGGGATAAACCTTTAAGTTTCTGCCATTTACTTTAAGTTTCTTGTCCAATTAGGTAAAAATTATGAGTCCTGATGAGGAAAATTAAATGTTTTAAAGGAGGATTTGTGGCTGATATTGTGGGAGTTGAATCTATCGAAATCTTAGAGGGCTTCTTCACTTTTTTGCGAATTTGACGGGAGAGTCTGGAAGAAATTTCGCTTCATAAGAGCTCTATTCACGATATCAGAACTTAAAAATCGTAAGATTAGGTTGGTCAGGAAGTCTATTTTTTGAGTTTGTTCTTCAGGGAGGCATGATTCCTAATTGCTTACTGGTTGATACAGAAAGACATTTGTGGACCCAAAGAAATGACAAGGGTTGGCTTCAGAAGTGATTAGTTGGGAGAAATTCTTTTACTAGTATGGTTTCAAACGGCTAAATGCAGTAAATGCAGTAATTGGAAGTTTGTCGGGAATAAAGTTGAAGGTCAGTTCCTGAAGTGAAATATCAGTCGCCAGTTGTAGGTAATCTGCTATAGGTTTTATATTGCAACATTCAGTTTTATTTTATTTTGAAACTGGGCTTTGTTTGTTAATTACTTGAAGATTTATCTTAGTAGTTTTTTGATAATTAGAACCGTTCTAAGTAAGAATTACATTATGGTTTCTCTTGAAATTTTTTTGGCGGAGTTTATCAAAGATATGCTTAGAGGTGATTCCAAGTATTTTTGTCGGGAAGGTTGACTTTGCAACCTACTTCAAATGTATGTATTGTAAATTTATTTGATTGGAAATCCAATATTTCCTCTGATTTAATACTCTGTAGTCTTACAGTTATGAGCAAGGCAGTTGTTTTGTAAACATTGACAAGAAAGTAGCAGTTGAGTAACATTTTGTTGAAGATGATCTGGCATTATTTAGAGGTAGGTATGCGCTTGGTATTATGAGCTTTCGATTCATTAAGTTGTTATATCCTTTCATTTAAGTTTTTTGACTAGTAATCTTCCTGCCGCACAACACATCTCTTTAATTATGGGTTGGTTTCCTACAGGTTGCTTTTTGCATAAAGAACTGAGGTATAGATGTAATAGGGAAATTTTAAGTCACCACTGACAAGCAGGTCGTCAATAATTACTTTTTCAAAGCGATCTGGCTTTTAATTACTAGATAAGATGGAACTTTAGGCGTGACAAAATATATTCATTAGTCTCATTGTTCCGCATGTTAAGTCTCACGCACGACAGTTTCTTCGTTTACGGGACTCTATATGTTAATAGTGAAAGGTTCTAAGTCTTAACGTACAATACTTTTTGAATTGACCTCTTATTTTTGTAAGTAATGCTTTTTGAATGATTTCGGTTAAAATAGTGTATTTTAGACAAACTTAATGTATGTGAGTCGCATTGTTCAGTGCAATGATTTTTCGTTTGTTACACCCGCTCTATCTATTTCTCCCTAATTTCATTACTTTAAGGTAATATGCCGCTTTTGCCGCCGAAACCACCTCTTTTTCCCAACAGATTGATTTCATGTGGGTTGTTATTCTGTTTCTTCACACCAGCAGGTTGCTGAAGTTTTTTTTAATTAATTTTTTTTTAAAGCGGGGCAGTTTTAGGTTGCTACAAAACTCCACTTAAATCCTAACCTCTTTGAATCCTCAAATTTTGGGTAAGCTATTTCCTTTTTTTCCTTATATATTGAGGGTCATATTGGTTTTAGCTTCTGTTCCGCCACTGGCACAACAGTTACTTCCACCACTTTCTTCGTCACTTTATAAAGGTGAATGTGGTCGGATAGGTGTTGTTGGTGGTTCTCCCACTTATACTGGTGCTCCATTTTTTGCAGCAATGACGGCTCTAAGAGTGGTATCTTTGCTGACCTTGATTTTTTTTACCAATGTTTCTTATGCCGTTCTGTCTGATTAAGGTTAGTTAGAAAGTCTTTCAATTTTTTAGGGAGCTGATATGGTGCACGTATTTGCTCCACCAGAGGCAGCTAGGGTAATCAAGGGCTACAGTCCAGAACTAATGGTGCATCCATCATACGACCGCAATACTCTTCGGGAATCACTGCATCGATTGGATGCACTTGTTTTAGGACCGGGATTGGGTAGGGCAGACAGTTCTTTTGAGACTGTGGAACATGTTGTTGAAGCAGCACGTGAAAAACAGTTACCTTTGGTTATTGACGCTGTAGGTCTCAGATTTTTTCTACTTTATTGCTTTTAAGTCACGCAGTATAACTTGTTGTGTCGGTAATTTGTAATTATAGGATGGATTATTTTTTGTGAGCAAAAAGTTGGAAATTATCAAAGGATACAAAAAAGCTATTCTAACGCCAAACTTTCCTGAATTTGGTCGTCTTTATGAGGCTGCATTTAATGGTACGAAAGCTGTGGAGGAAAAATTGAAAAGTGGTGAGGCTGCGAAAGAACTTGCGAATCATCTTGGTTGTACAGTATTTCAGAAAGGCAGTAAGGACATAATAACCGATGGTGCTGAAGGTTTGACATAGTGCATTTTGCTTTATAAGTTTGACATATTATTCAGTAGTACATCTCGGCGTTTTTTTTGATCTGCTGTTTACCGGAAAAAAGTATCTTTATCATGAAAATTGTTTGCTGTTTCTTGCTTCCAGTTGAACTTGGAGAAGAAGAGGGCTCTCCTCGTCGATGTGGTGGTCAAGGCGACTTGTTGAGTGGAACTCTGGCAGTATTCTTTTATTGGGCAGAAAGGTTAGTATTTTGAGTTCAGTTGAATTAATTTTCAGCTCATTCTAAGCTGCTGTTTCTTTTTCTACAAGATATCATAGTGTAATGCCGAGGTAATTCTTCTGTATATGAACTCAACAACGGAGATTCAAAAACACCTTACGACGTGTATTACAGAAAAAATCTCCCTTCGCCTTCTGTAATAGCTGGTAAAGCAGCTAGTCAGTTTATTCGCTTAGGAGCACGACGGAGTTTTAAGAAACATGGTCGTTCTATGGTTGCTGGTGACATAATTGATGAAATTCCTGCTTTGATAGCTGATCTTGATGGGTATTCTGAATAAGACCATAAAGTCAATTTGGAGTGAAATGTTAAGAGGCTTATCCTTTTTTTTCGACAGTAATGGGTTGTCTTTTCTCACTTCTTAAGTGATGTCAAGTAATTTTCATACTTTACTTGTCACTGTTTTCATTGCCTTGAAGTATATTTTGTCTAGTTTTAAGCAGTATCAATACTTCGAAATTATTTTTTTTTTTGTTCTATATTTACAAGATAAAAATGAATGCCCAGCTATTGTGTTCATCATAAAATTCAAAGTTTTTTAGTTTTTTTTATTCGTTGCTTCAATTCATGGCGTAATGTATGTATATATGGTATAATCAGCAGTCTCTTTAAGTTTTTTGTTTAATCATTTTTACAATACGGTTACAGTTATGTCGTATATTTGGAATGCATAAAGATTTCATTCTTATACAGTTTAGTAGCATTTTGACTGCAGCGTGAAGAAAATTCCAATTTCATCCATTATTTGTTAGCAAATTTTAAAGGAAGTTTTCTACGCGCATTACGACTTCTGTAGAGTGCTATAAAAAATAGCGAATTCACGGAGTGCTTGACAATTAATTTCATTGGTAAATAAAATTAAGTGACATATGAAGCTGGGAAACGGCCAGTTTTTGAAATGTTTGAGCCGTTGGTTAGGTCGGATATTATATGTCCTATTAACCAGTCACTGCCTAACTGAGATTCGACGATAACACAGTCTCCGGCTCGTACATCTAGCTCGTCTTCAGAAGTTGCATTGAAATCATATAAAACCCGACAAATTTGTTTCAAATTTTCTTGCATTTCAGCTTGGTCACCATTTGTTGACGGTAACTGTTCGGTGTTGTTATTTTGATTTTGAATAAGTGGCCCATCATTGTATATCTGAAAATGGTTCATCGTGTTGCTTACAACAAGATTTCTTGAATAACCATTTTTATAGGTCTAGTTATGGCCCTGCTGAAAGTGAGGTTTTTAAAAGTAAATTTGTTGCCTTTTTTCGAAGTTAATAGTTTGAAATTGAAAACGTTACGATTTGCCAGTAGCTGTAGCAGCCAATTTTTTTTTTTCAACGAACAATGAGATCAATGCTATTACCTGCTCATATTCATATTCGTCGGTACTTGATGTCGTCGGTAAACTAGGTGGTTGTATTGCCAGTAACTTTTTATTTTCTTCCAGTGGAATACTTAGAATTGTTTGTGGTAAACCCTGTAAAGAAGCTGTCCAAATATATCTTGTTGCCTAGCTCCGTGGCATATGCATTGTAATCACATGCACAAAGTGCAATACTTCAGCAGTTATCAACTTTCAAGTTTTTCATTATGGATTTTTTGTTCTTGGTAGAAACATGGCTAATGGATGAAAAAGTTTCTGTAGAGTTACCATTTTGTCTTTTGTTCGTTGCTGATAGGCAGCAAGTCTATGGTACGCTCGATTTTGGGTGCCGTCTATACTTTTCAATGATTCGTCTACCTTGAAAGCTAAGTATTCCAAGAATTCTGCATACGTCTAAACAAACTATAGCTCAATGGGGGATTTTGTTTAAGTTGTAAATTACGTTTCTTTCAATGACAGCTTGTTACACTTGTTACTTAGATTAATCAAAGTTAGGTTTCTTAATAAATTTTTTTTGTGTTTTTACTCTTCAAGGAAATTTAGCAGTTTTAGATTAAGAGTTTTTTAGCTTAAAAATGGAAAAGTGGTAACAAGTTTATCAGAAAATTCCCAATGTGAGGTCGAATTTTTAGACTCGGATTTTACCACAACAACTTCTTCTTCTGATAAATAGTAGTAAACTGAATGAATCAAATATTTATCTAGTAGGGGCATGAATTGTAAACTTAAAAATCTTTGGAAACTATAGTTTTTGATACACAAAAGGAATGCTTTACGTTAGTGATTTATTTCTTTCCATTTTCTCCTCTTCATTTTTGGGCAAAGAAGCATTACTTAATGATAGTTTAGGTATACTGTTAATTAATATTTCTTTTTTTTTTTTTGGTTTGAGCTTTTGAATTACTGTATACGTAGTTCGCTCACAAAGTCAGCAATATTGACGGCTATGGGTTCATTGGATTCTGCTTTCACCTTGTCAGCTTCATCATGCAACGTTGCACTTACCCGTTCTAATGCCCAACGTCGTCTATCGCTGCCCATTACTTCACCAAAATTTTCTGCCTTAATAAATATGAAAGTAAATTATAAATATTCATTGTTATTTTTCTCTATAGAATGTCAGACACAAATAAACATAAATAGGTGTTTAGTTGTTTTGTAAATTCGTTTGAATATTTTAAACATATACACAGAAAAAAAAGTAATAATGGATGAAAGTGTTGGGAAAGAAACTGCGACTTTAAGGATTGAGTAGTAGTGGTCGAAAAAAAAAAAAATTTTTTTTTAATTTCAACTATATTTTTATGGTAAAATTTATAGGGTTTAAAAAACTGACATGAAAATCGCATAAAAAGATAGAATGATTGGCAGAACAGGTGGGAACAATAGAACCAATATGCACCAACGGATCGGCATTTACGGCACCGTTCAATGCATTCATATGCCTTTCAAACATCTAAAAACTGTTACTAGCAACAACATTGCAAATATTATTATTGCTCATTCATATTGTATTTCAGCGATGAGAAGGGAAAAATTGTCAACTAAAGCTTATAGTTTGGTTAAGATAGAAAGTGAATTGAAGGATAATAAAAGAAAAAAATTCTTATTTTCCAGTTTAAATATGCTATTGAATTATATGCATTTATAGTGTATAGGATACGAAAGTTAGGTTTTTTTTTGAACAAAATCTGTGAAGAAAAAATAGTGTTTTTTTTTCGAAAGAAAGTATAAATTTTCTTGCAAAAACAACTAACCAGGTTCAAATTTGGTCCAAGTTGTGCGACCTTACGTTGAAATCGTCCTAAAGCCGTCTGACAATGTGCCAGTCGTTGGCGTTCAACAGTTTCCAGACGTTCAACACCACGTCTGAGCACATTTTCAGTGTTACGACGTTGTTTTTCAGCACTCAGTGTCTCTTCGATATATGTTTGCTCAAACTTAATTACCTGATCCAATAATTTTCGTTTTTTAACTGATAACTAAAAAAATTTTTTAATGCTTTTTAAAAACCAATAATAATTAATTTATGTTAACTGTTAGCAGTATATGAGAAAATTCTTAACACTGTTATCGGCAGATCAAAATTGCTCGCTGTTGTTTCAGTTTAATAATTCGTAAACCGAGTATCTAACTGAGAATTAGTCGACTGGTTTTATTTTTGCTTTTTTTTTTTAACTTACGATTAACAACTTACAACTGATATATTAAAAACGCGTATTTGTGTTCTGAACAATGACAGCAACAATCAGAAGCTTGGAAACCTATTTAGAATAGATAATACTGTCGAACAGTATACTGTCAAACAAAAACATTTTGGTTTTAAATAAGTAATCTTTTAGGTTTTCTCGTCTTTTCCTCTTTGCTGTTCACTTATTCAGTTAGGTTAAGTAATTTTTAATTTCTTTTTTTTTGTCTTCTACTTTATTTCTTAATGTGTTTTTCTTTTGAATTGGAATCTAAAAAGGGGTTTTTTTTTTACTGTAACAACAGCAAATTATATGAAAATAACTTTCATAAGTTTCAGTTTTAATTTCAACTACTTTCTTTTTTTTACCTCTTTTTAAATTTAATTTTTAAATTTTTCTCACTGTAGTCGCAAATATAAATAAAGTTTTTTTTATATTTTTTCTACTTTTTTTGACTGCATAATTTGTTCGCTTTCTATCTTTTGTTCCTTCACTGATCTATGGAATTCAGTCAAGTCAAATAAGCAATTTTTTTTTGATAACTTTTTGTTGTATTTTCTTTTCAAATTTAAGTTTTTGAAAGAAAAAAGAATAAGATCAAACTTTAATATTGGATGTTTTATCGTTATCAATAAGCTGATCCACTTTTTCAAGGTCACGACTACAACTGTGTAATTGTCGTTTGATTTTTGCAGCTTCCGATCGTTTGTCAACCAATTTTCTCAGTTCCCTTTCGACCAGCTGTTCTGTCTGTAAAGCCAATTTTATTCAATTCAATTCAATTCAATTCAATTCATTCATCTATTCATTCTCTTATTTATTCAATCAGCTTTTTTTTGCACTTTAAACTAGCTTAATAATTACATAGAAAAGCCGAACTTCAGCACAAATCATTTGATTTACACAT